AAGCATAAGCCTAAAGTAATTCCAGGCTATTCCTCCTCCATAACTTCTATAATCATTCAAACTACAAGTTTTGCCAATTTAATTTCCCAAATGGTTCTCAAAACTATCACGTTCCCTATTTGCTCAGCAATTACCTGGCTTTAGAGTTAAATAATCTCTCACCTAGACCATTATAGTAGTTTTACTACTGTTTTCTCTGCAAATGCACTCTCCTCAAATCCATCAACCACCACTGCCACTTTGCCATACACTCAAAACCCCTCAGCCTGTGCACCATTGTCCTTGGGACTCACCATTCTTGTCTCCCCCCATCCTTCACCCAGCCTTACCTCAGTACCATTGGTGCTGCTAACATTATGAACATGCTACAATGTGCTATTTATTTCCTTGTGTTGCCTTAATTTTTCTCACTCCCCAACCTGGTGCCTGACATTGGACTGGCACTGAATTTTTAAATCTGTGGATTTAATTTGATCAAGTTGTTCAGTGTAAGCAATTTCAGGTTTGAAACTCAGCTCCATGACTATGGGATAGTCCTCATTTTATCCCTCACTTATGTATTATGCAGGTATGTGTCACACTAAGATGCCTTTCAGTGGTAACGGTACATGACGCTGATTCAATACGGAACTTGTCACATCTGTTCTTGTCCTTCCAATACAATCCACAAATTAAAGATTAAATGAGGTTTCAAAAATCCCAGATTTGAGTGTGCTATTCCCCTGTCTGAGCTTCTTCATGTCACCTTATATGTCTTATGCTGAAATCCAAAACCTTCACCACATATTTGTTAGGGCTCAATGTATTATTTTTTTTTAAGATTTATTTACTGATGAGAGAGGGAGAGGAAGAGAGAATTCTAAGCAGACTCTGAGCACAGAGCCCTTGAGGTTCAATATCATGACCCTGAGATCATGACCTGAGTGGAAAACAAGAGTCAGGTGTGCAACATACTGTGCCACCCAGATGCCCCAGGGCTCAGTGTAACCTTCACCTTGACTGCCATTTTATCTTGTGTCAGTCACACTTCCCTTGGCCACCAGGCTCAAATACCTTGGACTCCCCTTAGTTCCACAGATGTGCCCCATTCTTGCTCATGTATGTTCTTTGCACATGCTATTCCTTGCCTAGAATTTCTCTTTCTTCCTCTTCACCTGGAGAACTACCACATGGTCTTTGAAAGTCAGCTTCAACACTACGTGGTCCTGAGGGATTTCCCTGATCCTTTTGTAGTAAGGTTCCCTGACATCTGGTCTTCAAGACCCCCTAAACATGTGCAGGCTGTACACCTGCAATGGTTCATGGGATGCCTTTGGGACAGACATGAAAGAGACTTAAATCTTTATTACGGCAATTTGCAGATAGTGTCTTGAAGAAGAGGACCCCCCCTTTTTTTTTACTTCACATAAACTGGCTGCATTAGTTGTTGACTACCTTGTTTTATCACATTTCCTATAAAACACTTACCAATTAACTGTATTTTTAATTACTCATAAAATCAAAAAAAATTTAGATTCTGTCTCTCACACTAGATTGCACAACCTATTTGGGAAAGGACTGCCTTTGTCTTGTTTATCGTTATTCCCTTGAATCCTGCCTTCTGACCTGCCATTTGGGGACATTCAGCAATATCTGATGAGTGAAGTGACCTGGAGCCTATGGCATTCTGGCTCTTCTTAGGCTGTATTGGCCACACTCAAGGTCTTAAGCAAATGTAACTGCTGCCTTCAGCTATATACTCCTTACAGGTTTATGTCTGTTTTTAGAGCCATAAAAAAGCCAACTGATCACAGTTTACTGGTAAAGTCCATAGTCTATACAATGGAAATGCCAAAGCACCTACTACCCAAGACGTTTTGTAGTATTAAGCAATAAGAATCACTGAAAACACATTTTCAGCTTTAAAAGTATTTTACTTGCAATTATAAGCATAGTGTTTGCATTGAGCTGAATGGCAGGTAGCGATAAAGTGTGTTTAATAACGTGCTTTATATCAGTGCATAATAGTGTACTACATTTTAGTGTTTTATTTTTCCTCTCTATTTTATAAGCTTTTCTCCAATATTATGATAAAGTCTCATACTCCTGACAACCTGATTCCACATTAAGCAGACTTCCTTACTGTGCTCAGAGACACAAGCCAGGTTCCCCTGGAAACCACAACTGCCTGAAGGTTTCTTAATGCTCTGCCTGTTTCAGCTTCACTTTATTTTGGCCATTAGTTTGGTAAAAAGAAAAAAAAATAAGAGTACTCAAATGAAACAAAACTGCCTTTATCATAATTAGTAATTTTTTTACCTTCAAAAGACTGTCCCAACAAGTAGAGGCTTCTTACAGTGGTCAGAATGAGAACATCATCTTATAGGTTAGAAGCCCCAGGCTGAGTTCTGTATTCTGCTGTCATTATAGAAGTACCCTGCAAACCTCTCTACACACAGATAACATGTATATATATATATATATATATATATATATATATATATATATATATGAGACGTACAGGGAGGTCAAAAGTTCAAATTATTGGATTTGTACCAACTTGGAAGCTTCTTTAAAGTTTTTTATCTCTTTAAAACTGGGCATCTGGGTGGCTCGGTCAGTTAAGCGTCTGCTTTCAGATCACGATCTTAGGGTTCTGGGATCCAGCCCCACGGTGGGATCCAGCAGGGAGTCTGCTTCTCCCTTTTCTATTCTTTTTTTGTCCTTTCCAAATAACCCCTTCTATATATATTTTGTCCTTCGGGGAAGAGTGGCTCTGTAATTGTTCCCTTACATGAAATCACTCTGTGTAATCAGCGTATGGTAAGAGACAGAAACACCTGTGTTTGAGCTCAATTCAGTAATGTTACCAACTGTATAAGCCACCTGTGTACTAAATTTAACAACAAAAACTAACCAATACAGTGAGTGCAAAAGGACAGACATCGTAAATGCTCCTTCAAAAGTGTGTTGAACAGAGGCAGTTGTATTTTCAATGCATGAAATCATAAATAGGTAGTAGACAGAAAGATAGATGAATAATTCTTTCTTAGCTATTTTCCTTTAACATACTCTTTTTATTTTCTTTGTTGGATACTGCTTAGTTTTCAAACAAAATGTCTTCCTGAGTTGGTTTGGTGGTAGTCTGGGATCCCTTTGGCAGGAAATGAGCTCCCAAACAACTGGAGATTTATCTGGAAGATTTGTCGGCCATCTTCCTAACAGAGAAGGACCCTCAGGCACATGGAGATTCCATCATTCCCCTGTTTTGTTATCTTCTAAAGAAAATCTGCAATCAAAACCTAAAAAAAAAAAAAATGTAAGATCTGATAATACTTTTCAAAACACCAATGGCCCCGGGGTTGGAGGGATGTTGTGGGGGCAAAGAAGAGCTTTCCTGTCGTTCTTCGAATCACACTGCCAAGAAGAGCTGTGTATTTCGAGGTTGTAGTAAGATTCTGGTGGTCAAATGCCTTTTTGGGAGTCACAATATCTGAAACAAGGTGGAAGCTCTCTTCTGCTGTCAACTGATGAATGGAATGACTGTATAGGCATCCTGATTCCTGTACCCAGTCTGGAAAGGGGAACTTCTCCACTGTCCTTCAGTGGCTGAGTCCTGGCTCCCCTGTACAGCCAACTTTGGCCTTCCTTCCTTGTCTTCATCATCCCCTGGGTCTCTTTGCCTGAGGGGACATTTCAGCAGAATCTGACAGATATCCTTGGACTGGTCGAGTTATGCACAGAAATGATGATGACTGAACTTCTCTATGAGGGTTCAGGTTCTTGGGGGCTTTCACTCAGCAGAATCTGACAGGTATCCTTGGACTGGTGGAGTTATGCACATATATGATTATGACTGAACTTCTCCATGAGGGTTCAGGTTCTTGGGGGCTCTATAAAGAAGGCATCCCAGTGAAGGGAAAGTGGATTTGCAGGGATTAATAAAAGAGAAAGACAGTGTCAACTCCCGGCCCAGCTCCGAGGCCTGAGTAAGGAGAGTGTCTTACTCATTGCAGGTAATACCACGAAATACGGATAATACCTGAGACGCCAGTCTATGTGTTATCTCAGAGAAGACTGAAAGGAACAGAATGACCAGAAATATTCTATTTGCGTATATCAAATCATTAATACCTGATGGCCCGGTCTTACTCTAATTGGATTGTTTTGCCACTTTATTTGGATGCGTCATTCAGGATTGCTCCTCTCTTGAAAGAAGACATGTCTTGAGAACGATGCCCACAGTAGCTCTAGACTTTATTATGAATGATCCAGATGCATAAGCGCACTGAGGAGGCACACCCTTACGGCACGGCTAAAGCTAATCCGCACAGCTGCTAGTCTTAGGCCCACCCAGGAGAGGCTGGTTGAGGCTCTGGGGAGTCGGTGGTGGGTGAGCCTCGGCTGGGGGCGCGGCCCGGGCAGGGGCGGGGCGCCCGGGAGCTCCCCGCCCGCTGAGCCCGCGCGCGCTCCGAGTCCCTGCAGCACGCGCCTGGCTGAGCCGCGGGGACCCGGCTGGGCTGGGAAGGTGCCTCATCCAGGGCGCGGAGCTGCGGGCGCGCCGCGACTCCAGGGCTGAGGCCACTGCGCGGGGCTCCGGGAGCCGGAGGTGGGCTTGGGGCTTTCGACTTTCTAGGAGCAGTCCTGGGGAGCGACGGCTCCTTGCTCGAGAGCTCTTTGTCTCTGGGGGCTCAGAGCAGCAGTCTGGGGGCGGTTTCACGGGGGAGGGGGCGGAGAGGGGGGTCGTACCTAGGAAGGGGTTGGAGGGGATTGCAGGAGCCGGGGAAGAGGAGCGAGCGCTGTCCGCTGTGCTAGTCGAGCGGGTAGCGCCAGGCGCCCGCATTTTCCCGCCCCCGGGGACGCGCGCCGGGCTGGGCGTCGGGCTGGCTGCGGGCGCCCCGCGCTGCTGGCCCCCGGCGCTGGCCCGTGTGCCGCAAAGTTGCCTCTCCGGGTCCAGCTTCCCGCTCTCGCGGCCCCGCAGGTTCTGCCTCTGCTCGCCCTGCACCTGCAGCCGCCGGACCATGGAGTCCCCGGTCCAGATCTTTCGCGGGGAGCCGGGCCCCACCTGCTCCGCGAGCACCTGCCTGCTCCCCAACGGCAGCGGCTGGCTGCCGGGCTGGGCCGAGACCCCAGGCAACAACAGCGGCGGCTCCGAGGGCGCGCAGCTGGAGTCCGCGCACATCTCTCCCGCCATCCCTGTCATCATCACGGCTGTCTACTCCGTGGTGTTCGTCGTGGGCTTGGTGGGCAACTCCCTGGTCATGTTCGTGATCATCCGGTGAGTGCAGGTCCCGGCGCCGCAGCGGCTGGGGTCGGGAGGGAAGGTCCGGCCTGGCGCCGGGACGCGCGGTTGGGGCTCCAGCCAGGTGGCGGCGCAGGACCTCGGAGAGCCTCAGAGGGCGGCCTCTTTGAAGTAAAGGATTCCTGGAAGAGTTTTGGGTGAGGGACCCTGAGGTCGCACGGGGGCGAATAGAACAGCCAGGGGAGTTTTGAGGCTTTGAATGACCCTCCCATCCCTTCCCGCCCCCCCCCCCCCGCCCCAAAACCCTTACTGAAAACTATGGTTATGGAAAATATTCGGGTGTGGAGCAAGGTCAGCGCCTTCTGGAAAGGAAACTAGTTCATTTGCCTGGCCTGGTTGCCTGGTTGCCCGCGCTAGTTCGGAGCACTTTGTTCTGTCCTTTGCAAATATTTTTTTAAGGTAAAATTCAAGCCCATTGAATGCACTCGAGGTAATTCAGAATTTCCTGTGACTCATCAGATTGGTGTTACGATTTATAAGCAAAAGTCCATATATACTTAGGGTTGTTAGTATCCATCCACGAGCCCTTTTAGTACTGAAATGTTATCTCATTTACTTAGAATTTCAGTGATTTTTAAAAAATAAGTCATCTAATATTTATCCTCTAAAGTGTGGATTGTGGAGGTTTTCAAAAATTGCTTTGCTTCTTATTTTCCATGGAGAGAAACTGATGATTCTATTTTATTGCTCTTTGGTGGAATTACATTGAAGTCAACTTCTATTATAAACCTCCAAATACCCACCCATATCTGCTAATTTTCTGGTAGGTGAAGTGATTTTTTATTTTGGCCTCTTTCAACAACAACAACAAAAAAAAAAAAAAAAAAAAGAAAAAAGAAAAAAAATCTCAACTTTGCTTTCGATACCCTTTGATATAAATATTCCACTTTCTGGGAGAGTTAATGCTTTGGAAATACACCTTTGAGAGTGAATAAGGAGTTTACATTCCTTTGAAGAGTTCCTGTGAAATAAGGGACACAAGTCACTCATTTCAAGGGCATTGAAGTGATGAATAAAAACTACATCTTTAAAAAAATTCTAGCTTTAGTTTAGTTCTTTATTTATTATAAACCTTAAGAACATTATCTATAGCATGAGTCTTGGGAAATCATCATAATAAAAAATGCCCATTCATCTGTCTATCCAGGTTTGAGAATTTTATCTTCATCTGTACTCCGGAACTAAAACCCATCATTTAAGCTTCCAAATACACATTATAAAGCTCATTTCATCTACAATTAGCATTTGTAGCTTGGTAGCCTTGGTTTCCATGATTGTGTATTGCATTTTATAGGCATCCTATCGGTGACAAGTAAAGGCCACAGAGGGAGGAAATATTTTAAAAGCACATTGTTTTCCAAAGTCTTTAGTAATTTCAGGGCTGCTCTCCATTAGAGAGAAGATTATAGCAACCAAAAGAAAAGAAAACAGCTGTGTTCTCAATTACAATTAAAAGCTTTAGGAGATCTTTGGTTCAGAGGCTGTGAGTTTGTAATAAAACACTGCTACACAAAAAGAAGATGCTAAGAAAAGAAACAACTCTGTTCCTACTTATATCATATTTAAGTGCATGAGTAAAATGAATACATCTTATTGTTATTTGAAAGAGCACCTGAAGTTTTGAGTTTGAGAAGAGCTTCTTAGTTGTTTAACAACTGTTTATATAGCCCTACAAAGTAGGATAAAAAGGAATGAAGAATCCTAAAATATGTGCAAAGACAACTCCATGGGGAACAGTAGAAATGTCAGAATGAAAACAGAATTATATATATATATTTTTAATATATTTTTTAAGTATTCAATTTATTTATTCATGAGAGACAGAGAGAAAGAGAGAGAGGCAGAGACACCGGCAGAGGGAGAAGCAGGCTCCATGCAGGGAGCCTGACGTGGGACTCGATCCCGGGTCTCCAGGATCAGGCCCTGGGCTGAAAGCGCCACTAAACTGCTGAGCCACTCAGGCTGCCCAAAAACAGAATTATAGATTAACTAAGACTTTTAATGGTGAATATGAATATGAAGAAATAGAAATGAAATATATATAACAATTATATGTGATTATATATAATGAATAATCACCATTATAAATAGTAATATAGGACTCTTATCAATTCTTCATATATTTATATAACATATGCAATATATAATTTTATATATGTGCTGTGTGTGTGTGTGTGTGTGTGCATCCAAAAGATATCCAGGACCAAAATTTATTAAAAGATATATTCAGCTAAAAATACAAAAAAAAGTTAGCTAGTTCAGGTAACATCATTCATCCTCCCACCTCACTCCCAACTGGTTGGAAATGAAGTATGAAAAGTGAGGAATCATCCTGGAATGCCAATGTACTGAAACATTTGTTTCCTTATATCTATAGCTATGAGGATTAAGGAGTATTTGGTATTGGTTAAGACTGAGAGATGCCCAAAGAGTTGTTAAAAACAAAGCCTCAAAAGGAAGGTTGGTAGAAGTGGGTTTATTTTGCTCAGAAGAAGAAGGAACTGAAGACTTGAGAGAGGTGGCTATTGTCTGCACACCAGAATTGAGAGCAGAACTGGAATATGGAATTCAAATGCAACTTTTATAATTGATGTTGAGGGCTGAGCAACATTGCTTAAAAAGATGGAGGATCACTTTTGAGGACTATTTTAAAACACTGTTCATTGAAAAGGGCCCTGGTTCAGTCATTTAGGACATCATTCTAGAGATGGGGTTTAGATGTTTGGATGTTGGGGCAGATGTAGGTCCGAGATGGCCTGCTCAGACCCAAGGAGAAAGCTAGGGTTGTGGAAAAAGCTGTGACTATTTTTAGACCTGTCTTACAAATAGCTTTCCCATCTTGGATGCCTGAAATGCTGCCCAGTATCCTCTGAATATATTTAACATTTCAAGGGTTTTCATCATTTTATATGTACCAACTACCATAACTGCCTAATATTGGGGCATAGGAACTTTTCATTGTGAAAACCTTATAACTAAGCACTCAGCCTCCCTTCTCACCAGGCTTTGGGGTTTATGGTCCTGGGGTGGGAGGTTCTTACCTCAGCCATAAATCCCTGTCTTTGGCTTCTACTGACTGACACCTTGGGTGTGCCCCTGGGTGCAGCACTTAAGATCCTAACCCTGTGTTCTCTCCACCTCTTCCTGTGTAGGTCACCTGCAGGGAATGCTATGATGCCCATCCACATTCACATCTCTGATCTCTCCAGGCAGTCTCACCTATGACATGACATCTTAAACTTCCATTCTCCCACAACTTCCATGCATTTGGCTATTTCCTCCCGTAGCAGACATGACTAAAAGTTTAGGGACACTAAATATATGCCAGGCCAGTAAAGTTACCTACTTCATGGAAATCACTTTATTTACTCTTCACAACCATAGGTGTATTATCATCCCCATTTAACAGATGATGAAATGAAGGCAAAGTAAGATTAAATAAACTGACTAAGGTCACACATGCTGATTGTGGAGCCCAAATGACATGGAGCCTGTGCGTCAGTTTGCTGTTCACTATACCACTTCTGCAAACCTGTGGATAATTTCTTGCCGGGCAGCCCTTTATTTTCTCCCAGACTTTCTTTCTTTTTTCTTACCTTGCCTGGATACCACAAACCATTGCCACAGCCTCTCTTGACAATACACTCAGCTGCCGTGACTTCTTGTCCTCTGCAGCTGTCTTCTACTGAACCTTGACCCTGGATCAAGCCAGTGCCTTATATTCCTTGTTCCTATACCCAGTGAACTGAATGCTGGTGAATAAAATCCGTTTTATCTTTGTCAGGGCAAAGTCACTGCCTTCAAGTGTATCTGACCCCAAGTCTGCCTAGTTTTTCTGTCTCTCTCCTGTTTCCAGAAAGAGCCAATTCCTTTTCCCATTCCCAACAAACCAAACCAAAACCAAAACAACAAACAAAATCCAAATTAATTTAATGGGCGCTAATTCTTATGTCGTCTTCTTGACCGTGTCTCATCATGGTAGCTCCCTGTGACACTAGAGTCTAGCTGCTGGGAGTGTTCTTCCTACATATGTGCATTGGCAGCCACCCTCCCTCATACCACATTGTCTCTGCAGAGATCTTTCCTTCTTTGTATCCAGGGCAAATCCCTGTTCCTGAGAGGTGAATCTCATCCCCTCCTGCTCTCCTGAGGTCTCTGCTGTGTTAGTTATCTCCCCTCTGTGCTACCTGCAACCTCACCACTGCTTTTGTCCCATAAGCATCTGGATATAGTCCAGCATCTGTCGTCTTACAAGTCATCATTATCCATCACCCTTCCATTTTTCTGAGTTCCCTTGGCTAATGTCTTTTCATCCTCCTCACCTGTAGGTAAGCTTCTTGGGGGGATAATCCTGCTTCTTCAATTTCTCATCTTCTATTCCTCAGGCTGTGCACTTGGGTTCCCTCCCTGCTGCTCCTTTACCAAAGCCAGAGCATCATGTTTCAGCTGCTCATTTTAGGCTGACTGTCCCTTGATTTCTGTGGAGATTTGGTATGCTCCACCAATCTTATGCCCCTTGCTTCCTCTGATAGCACCCTCCGTGACTTCCTACCACATCTTCGGGGTTTCTCTTGTCTGCAGCACTGATGCCTCTTCCTCTCGGGTTTCTTAATTGGTCATATCTTCCAGAGCCTTTTCAGATCTTCTCTCCTCACTTTGCATATTCTCTGTATTAGTCAGGATTCAATCAGAACAGCAGAACCAGAAGGAGATGCACATGTGAAAAGATTTGTTGCAAGGAATTGGGTTGCAACCATGGAGCTGACTGAGCAAGTCTGAAACCTGGGGGTCAGGCATCAAGCGAGGCAGGCCAGGCCGCTGGCCCCAGGTAGAACTTCTTTCTCAGGGAAGCCTCTGTTCTCCTCTATATTAGCATGCTAGGACCGCTATGACAAAGTGCCACAGACTTGTTGGTTTAAACGACAGAACTTACTTTCTCACAGGGAGGCTAGAAGTCTGCGATCAAGGTGTTGGCA